CCACAAATGAACACGTCAAATTGGGCGGCCGGGGAAAACAATCAGCGCTGCGCGGCGCAGCGCGCGAAAAAAACGGCCCCTCTCGAAAATAAATCAGCGTCGCGATCAAAATGAACGCCGGGCAGCGGCGCGGGTTATCGGACGTGTCGAAGAAGTGCGTGTCCGTCGTCGCCTGGTTAGCTGGCTGGGGTTGGCGGCGGCCCGCACGACGGAAGTCGAGCCTCGGCGACAAACGAGAGCGCGCCACATACCTCGCCGCACGTTCGCCCTTTTTCGAAACAGGATGTGCCTCAATTTCCCCTCTCTGGGGCGCAGTTAGGCGTGCCTTACGGTTGGCATTCCAGCCTCTAGGAGATGAGAAACAAATTAGTTGACACGCTTCTTTTTGCTGCCAGCTTGCCGGCGGTGGCGGCCCCCCTTCCCCGTCGGAGGGGCCGGGCCGCGCCCAGTGGGGACAGAGCGGTGTCCGGAAGCCGCTGGTGGGTCCCTAGGGTGTCCGCAGGGCTGCGGTTTCGAGGGAAGACACTTCTGACCAGCTGCAGGCCGCAGCTGCAGCTGCACCGAGCCAGCTGTAGCGCCGGCACAGGCAACGCAGCGCGCGGCGGCCCCGAGGTGACCCGGAAGGTGTCGGGCCGACGCAGCAGACGTCGGCTGCAGGCAGACATCTGGTTGCCATTTCGGGATAGTTTGTCGTTCAAGGTGCTGCTGTGTAGGGTTACCTGTCCGGGTGCGGTGCCCGCTGCGCGGCTGCGCGTGTGTGCGTGCGTGTCCGTGTGAGCGCTAGCGCGCTAGCCACACCTGCTGCTACTGCTGCTTCTGCCACAAAGGCTGCTGATTCTAGTCAGTCGCCGGCGCCTTACCCTAAATGGATCAAATGACGCGTGGCAAACAAACCTACGTGCAGTAAATTTGTTTTTATTTAGCCTAGACTTTGGCCCCTCACTGGAGGGGAAAGTTGGAGACGGTCATTGGCTGTTTCCGTTTTCAATCACGAGCGACTGAAAAACCGGGCGCCGTCTAGGGTTTCCCTGTAAACCGCTGCACTGCTGCCGCGGCGAGGGAGGACCTTACGCAGTGCAGCAGCTAAGCGACGCGACGCGCAGCGCGCAGCAGGTCCCCGAGGAACACATGTGGCTTCCTCTGCACGGCCCGCACGGCCTGCACGTGGGGCGACAAATTAGTCGACAGACGTCGCGCCACTAATAATGGATTAGGTTATTAAGCCACACGTCCGCCCCGAGACTTTCTCTAAATTCGCCGCGTTCAAATTTATAATCACCGACCGCTTGCTCGATCGCCCCAAGTCTGTCCGTTCGGCACCTCGTCGTGCCACGTGGGGCCACGGCGGCCACGCGCGACGCCGTTGTCGGATCAGAACGTGAATGCCGTCCGATTGGTCGAATTGTCCATCGCGAGCAGAGCAGCGTGCCTCCTCGGCTACCGTGGCCATTCAAACGGCCGAAAGGCGAGCCGAAAGGCCAAAAGGCCGAAACACGTGGCAGAAATGTAGGACACGTCCAGTATACAATGTCTTTGTTTTCGTCCTCGGATTCGCGCCGCCCTCCGGGCCCCTCCGGCCTTGGCGTGCTGTGCCTATTTTCCAAAAGTGGGTGAAGCGAGCCAAAGCTGTTGGACCCGCGGTGACATCAGGCACGCTCAAAAGCGGGTCAGTCGAACAAAAACGCTCTTGTTTTGGAGGGAGTGACGTCACGCAGGAAAAAAAATGGGCCGGAGAGTCTGCACTGAATTGAACTGCGGAGACAATCGGATTGGTTGACTGTAAAGAAAGGTCACGGGTACACTGGAAACAAAATGAAGCGACGTTAGAGAGCTGGTTTGAAAGCTGGTCACTTCAACCCCTGAAAGAAGAGCAGCCTGGAAAAGCACGACCACTTCTGCGCTGCCAAATTTCCCAACGCGTCTGCTCCTGAAACCAGCACAGTGAACAAAGAAGCAATCTACTAATGCGATTAGGCCGAAATTTCAGCAGGACGCTCCGCTCTCCGCGCCTCGCACGCGTGGCGTTTGTGTGTCCAAACAGCTGACCGGCGGATGCAGAGCCCGATAAAAAGGGCTGTGAAATGAGCAACAAAGGGCGGCAGCGTTCGCGTCCAAGTGGAACGGACGGGGTTTCGGCTGCTATGCTGGCGACAAAGCGGCGACGGAAATACAGGAATCCAAGGGATGAATGCGGCCAACCATTTGTATCCATTTGGCTTTCATTCACATCTCATCCCGGTGCTTCTTTCTTTCCGGGTGAAATCCGATACCAGATTTGTATCTTGTCATTTTGCGGGGCATTCCGAGCCTAAACGGTCTGAATGTTGTGCTTTATCTCACACATCGAGCCTGGTGCATGGCTCAGGCTGCCGACGGGCGGTCCTGCTGGCTCACCCACCACTGCAAGTAGCCCTCTAGCCGATCGCGCGATAGTGCAGCCTGGCCGGCCTGGCGTCCCTTTGACGGTATCCAATGCGGGGGGAGGGAAAAGGAACGAGTTTTTGAACGCCGCCCCGCTTCGAATACACACCCTTTGTGTTCCCACGAAAAAGCCCGCGAGTACTGCATAGTAGTGCGCACGTGGAACCAGTCGAGCGCGCATTGCTAATGTTATTATTTTTACTTTTTGTCCGATTGCTTTATTGCTGTCGATCTCCAGTGAGCGAGCGAAGGGGAAAAGGAGCAGGGCCGCCGAACCGCGCGCCGGCGCCTCGGGCTAAAAGTGTGGTTATGTTTGGATTGGCTGCCGGGGTGGAAATCAGGGGGCAAATTGCAGACCTTATCGAAGGGGTGGACTGTTGCACTGCCGGCACAGCCCGATGCAATATTGCCATATCGGCCCGATCTGCTTTGTTGCAACAACAAAACGCTCCCCGCCTAGCAGCTGACACTTGAGTTTCCCCCCACCCCTTTCCTTCTTCGACTTTGCATTTGACTTTAATTTCGGTACACGCTGATTAGATATCCGAGGAACACACATGCGCCGGATAGGTGACGATTCGAACGCCGCAAGAACATTCCGCTCTGCGAATAACTCCGAGAAGCTTATTTGCCACGCGGAAATAAGGGTGTGTTCGTTATTTGCAGTGGTCGTTTGGCTATTCGCACGGCACGCCCAGCGCGACGAGGTGGTCGTTACTCGGCGTTGCTTTTAATTAGCAGAGAATGCGTTACTCTCTCGCACTTATTGTCAGCTCCACTCCGCTGAAAAAAAAACAAGCGACCGGTATAAATAAAAGCATTCTGATTGATATCACTCCCACTGGCAAAAGGGAAAAAAGAAAACTGAAAAAACGGGTTCTCTCTCGCACAGTGGCCGCTGGCCGGCGCAAGGCGGCAGGGGGCGGCGTGTGCCCGGCCACTAAACAGCTCATAAAAGTGTAAACTGGCTGAATTCGCGCTTTCTCAAATTTCCTCGTGTTTATTGTTTACTTTGCGTCGCAGATGTCCCCCGCTGTGGCGCGGCACGCAGTGTAGCGGCGGAGGGGTGGCGGTTTGACTTTGGCGAGCGAGCGCCAGCAGAGTTGGGCCCGTCCCGGCCGTCCCGTCCCAGCGCCGTCCCCCTGGGACTGCTTCGCGCCCCAACGGCCCCACCCGTAATTCAGTCGCCATTTAAAACCGGCGCTTGACATTTTTACGCCGCGACGGCAGGGATTTCGGAAGCGGCGGAAATAACAGCCACGACAACACTGCACATCCCTGCAAACGTGTTTACAACAGGTGCTAGGGCAAGTAAGTTGTGCTGACGCGGGCAATTCGCAGTCAACTGACGACGGGTTCCGAATTAGAAACGCGCAACTACTTTCCAGCAACGTGGTACTAAACAAAACGGAATTATCGTCGCCAGAAAATCAATTACACTAGCAATATATAGACAGTTTCAATCAGCGCTTTTCGCGACTCCATCACCGGCATGACTCGCATGGCACTGCGTTCGATTCCATCGCTGGACCATCAATAACCTCCCGTAACTCCCGCGCTCCCGATGAAAGCGGTTCGATATATCGAAACGGACCGCGGGGCGACGGCCGAGAGGGGCCGGCCGGCTGCCCGTTGCCGCCCATTTGGACGGCGGTCAGTTCTCGCATCTCTCATCAGCTTTCAATTTGAAGGTGGAAAAACTGTGATGTTCCGAAAACAAAAAGAAGGGAGTAGTCGAGAGCTTTACGCCCGTTGGGACCTCCCCCTCCACGTAACTTCGGAGATGGACACGCCCTTATGCAGTAATTTCAGTTCTGGAAAGGGAGAGGGAAGGGGGTGGAACGTACGCTCTACTATCATTTGTTTACTTGTATGAAATTTTCATTCGCTAACGTTTAACCCGTTCTCAACAAAACTCGCAGGCAACGGCGCGGTGCGCTCCCTCGCCAAATAGCTTGAAGCACATTGTCTGCACAGAGCCGTAAGATCTTACAGTAGACGGGCTGCAATGCTCACCGCCTCCCCCGACGGGCGGGCCGGTCAAGTTGAGCACGCCGGCAGACTGATTCCGAGAGTCGTTCTCGTCGCTCTGTCTCTCTCGCACTCATGGTGCTTCCCTTAGAGGTGCGAGAGAGACGACTCTCGTCTGCAGAGCGCTGCGCATCGGGATTGAAAGTGATGACCAGCAGTATCACTGCTGGCTTGTCCGCGCCAACATAAACGAATCGATTTGGCCGCGCTAATGCCCTTCAAGGCCTTCCAGGCCCCGCAAACAAACTATAATTTAGCCGGCTCATAATTGGGGAGATGATCGGAAGGAAGACTAACCAGCCGGTCCGGTCGGGACCTGTCTGGCACTGCATGTCCGACCGTCCGCCGCGCCCGGCAGGCAGGGCAGGCAGCAAGGCAGGCACACTGTCCGGCCGACTCCCCTCTGCCGGCGTGGCGCGAGCTCTGGCGGCGGCGGCGGCAAGCTGGCGCGGTGGTGGGGGGCGTCCCTCTGGCACGCGGAGCCAGCGCGGAGCGCGGCGGAGCGGCGGCGGCGGCGCGCGGCGCGACGAGTCAGTCACCGGCCGGTCATGACAGAGGGAGGTCCTGCCGCCGCACCTCCTCCCACGAAACACTTACGTACGACGCGAACGTCCGCTACGACGCGTTGCTAGTGAACCGGCCAACTTCTTGGATTATCGACAAGGAATACCAGTGCAGTGTGCTAGTGCCCGTGTGGATTATCGCTGGATTATGTGCTTGTGTTAGTGTGACTGTTTGGTTTCGCCCTGGATTTGAAACCAAACCGCCAGTGTTTGTGACCATGTGTTACGTGCGGTGATGGCGAACGCGGCGAACGCCACCATGTTGTTGTTCGTGCTCGCCGTGCTGCTGCCGTGCGTCCCGGCGCGCGTGCTCCCCCAGGACGCGCCGCGGGACTGCGAGTGGCAGCAGCGCCTCGACGACGGCCTCGTGGACGCCGACGTGTCGCTGTCCGAGAGTGTGCTGGCGTGCCGGCTGCGCACCATCGGCGGCACCGACGGCCTGCTGGCCAACCTGACGGCCTCGCAGGCGGAGCGCGTCACGGCCCTGCGCCTCGAGTGCAGCGACGTGCTCTTCTTCGAGAGCTCCTTGGAGGAGAACCGGCACCACGGCGGCGGCGGCTTCCTCGGCCAGCTGCGCGCGCTGCGCCGGCTGTCCATCGAGCACTGCAAGATCCGCTACGTGCCCGGCTCGGTGCTGGCGCCGCTGCGGGACCTCCGCCACCTCTCCATCCGCACCCACAACACGGACTGGTCCGCCATGGCCATGGAGTTCAACTCGGAGAGCTTCCGCGGCCTGGCCGAGCTCCGCGTGCTGGACCTCGCCGACAACAACGTCTGGACCCTGCCGCCCGAGCTGTTCTGCCCGCTGTCGGCCACCTTGACGCACTTGAACCTGAGCAGGAACAAGCTGCAGAACGCCATGGAGCTGGGCTTCTCGGACTGGGGCGAGGGCCCCGCCGCCCCCGGCAAGTCCTGCAACGCCGCCCTGGAGGAGCTGGACCTGTCCGGCAACGCGCTGTCGAGCTTGCCGGACAACGGCTTCACCAGCCTGCGCTCGCTGCAGAAGCTGTACCTGCAGGAGAACGCGGTGGCCGCGCTGGCGGACCGCGCCTTCGTCGGCCTGGTGGCCCTGCAGACCCTCAACGTGTCCAGCAACCGGCTGACCGCCCTGCCCCCGGAACTGTTCCAGTCCTCGCGCGACCTCCGCGAGCTGCACCTCAACAACAACAGCATCAGCGTGCTGGCGCCGGGGCTGCTGGAGGGCCTGGACCAGCTGCAGGTGCTGGACTTGTCCGGCAACGAGCTGACGAGCAGCTGCGTCAACCGGGACACCTTCTCCGGGCTGGTGCGCCTGGTCGTGCTCAACCTCGCCCACAACGACATCACGCGCGTCGACGCCCACGTGTTCCAGGACCTGTACTCGCTGCAGATCCTGAGCCTGGACCACAACGGCATCGAGGTGATTGCCGAGGGCGCCTTCTCGTCGCTCAGCAACCTGCACGCCCTCACGCTGTCCCACAACAACCTGGTGCGCGTCGAGTCCTTCCACTTCTCCGGGCTGTACGTGCTGCACCAGCTGTACGTCGACCACAACCACCTCCAGGAGGTGAACCCCAAGGCCTTCGAGAACTGCTCCAACATGCAGGACTTGAGCATGGCCGGCAACAACCTGACCGAGGTGCCCGCCGGCCTGGGCCACCTGCACTTCCTCAAGACCCTGGACCTGGGCGAGAACAGGATCACGGCGGTGAGCAACGAGTCCTTCCACGGCCTGGACCAGCTGTACGGCCTGCGGCTCATCGACAACCGCATCCGCCTGCTGCCCAAGGACGCGTTCTCCGCGCTGCCCTCGCTGCAGATCCTCAACGTGGCCGACAACCGCATCGAGTCGGTGGAGCGCGGCGCCTTCGGCACCAGCCCCACGCTGCACGCCATCCGCCTGGACGGCAACAACCTCACCGACCTCTCGGACATGTTCCGCGAGCTGCCGGGCCTCGTGTGGCTCAACGTGTCCGCCAACCAGATCGCCTGGTTCGACTACGCCCTGCTGCCCAACAGCCTCGAGTGGCTCGACATGCACCAGAACAAGATCGACCGCCTCAAGAACTACTTCGAGAAGGACGGCGAGCTGCGCATCAAGATGCTGGACGCCAGCTTCAACCTCATCACCGAGATCGCCGAGGCCAACATCCCCAACAGCGTGGAGACGCTGCTGCTCAACAACAACCTCATCACCGACGTCAAGCCCGGCACCTTCTCGCGCAAGGCGAACCTGAGCCGCGTCGTGCTGTACGGCAACAAGATCGAGAGCATGGAGCTGGCCGCGCTGAGGCTGTCCCCAGTGCCGGACGACCGCGAGCTGCCCCAGTTCTTCATCGGCGGCAACCCTTTCTACTGCGACTGCACCATGGAGTGGCTGCAGCGCATAAACCAGCTGTCGCACCTGCGCCAGCACCCGCGCGTCCTGGACCTGGACTCGGTGACGTGCCGCCTCGCCCACACGCGCGGCAACCCCACCCGCCCCCTGCTGGACCTCACCCCCGCGCAGTTCCTCTGCCCCTACGAGACCCACTGCTTCGCGCTGTGCCACTGCTGCGAGTTCGACGCCTGCGACTGCGAGATGACCTGCCCGGACAACTGCTCGTGCTACCACGACCACACGTGGGCCTCCAACGTGGTGGACTGCTCCAACGCGGGCTACCGCACCGTGCCGCAGGGCATCCCCATGGACGCCACCGAGATCTACCTGGACGGCAACGACCTGGGCGACCTGGGCAGCCACGTGTTCATCGGCAAGAAGAAGCTGCAGGTGCTGTACCTCAACGGCAGCAATATCGCCAACATCCACAACCGCACCTTCAATGGGGCCAACTCGCTGCGCGTGCTGCACATGGAGAACAACCACCTGCAGGAGCTGCGCGGCTTCGAGTTCGACCCGCTCAAGAGCCTCAACGAACTGTACCTGGACCACAACAACATCAACAAGGTCGGCAACCAGACCTTCACGGCCATGCGCGAGCTGGAGGTGCTGCGCCTGGACGACAACAAGATCGAGGACTTCAAGCCGTGGCAGCAGCTGGCGGCGGCCTCGGCGTCCGGCAAGCTGGCGCAAGTGTCGCTGGACGGCAACCTGTGGACGTGCGACTGCGAGCACGTGGCCCAGATGGAGGCCTGGATGAGGGACAGCGGCAGGGCGGCCGACCCCGCGCGCATGATGTGCAAGGGCGCGGCCGAGACCGTGGCCGAGGTCATCGCACGCTGCAGCGACGCCAGCCAGAACGTGGTGGCCACCTCGGTGGTGCAGCGCGGCTCCGTGTACACCACGCCGCTGCTGGCCCACGACTACGTCACCATCGTGGCCGCCACCCTCGCCTCCATCGTGGTCGTCTTCCTGGTGCTCGCCCTGGTCTTCATCTTCCGCCACGACGTCCGCCTGTGGGCGTACTCGCGCTACGGCGTGCGCATCCTCAGCGACCCCATGGCGGAGGCCGGCGACGAGAAGGACCGCCTGTACGACGCGTACCTGGCCTACTCCGTCAAGGACGAGGACTTTGTGAGCCAGGTGGTGGCCGCCGAGCTGGAGCAGAGCGGCTACTCGCTGTGCCTGCACTACCGCGACATCCACCTGATGAGCGGCGGCGCCAGCTACCTGGCCGACGCCGTGCTGGGCGCGTCGGACGCGTCGCGGCGCGTCGTCCTGGTGCTGTCGCTGAGCTTCCTGCAGAACGAGTGGACGCGGCCCGAGTTCCGCGCCGCGCTGCAGGCCTCCCTGGAGCAGAAGCGCGCCGCCGTGCGCCGCCACAAGGTGATCCTGCTGCTGACGACGGCGCTGGACGCCCTCGCCCTGGACCCCGAGCTGCAGCTGCTGCTGCGGACCTGCACTGTCATCTCCTGGGGCGAGAAGCGCTTCTGGGAGAAGCTGCGCTACGCCATGCCGGACGCGGCGCTGCCCCTGACGCGCAAGAAGCGCGCCGCGCCCGCCACCCTGGGCAAGATGTCCCCCGCCGCGGCCGAGGCGGGCCACGGCCACGGCCCCGGCAAGGCGCGCTACACCGCGGCGCCCACCTCGCTGGACGCCTGGTACAAGTACAGCGCGCCGCAGCACTTCCTCCCCGCGCCCACGTGTGGGCCCACCCCCACCCAGTCCGAGGCGCACGACGACCGCGCCGCCAGCCCGCAGCTGCAGCAGCTGTACAACTACGCGACGGCGCCCTCGGACGGCCAGAGCCAGCACAGCTACGTGTCCATCGACCGCCACAACCCGTACGGCCTGCACCACTCCTTCAGGCGGCAGCGCGACAGCCACGTGTACAGCACCATCCCGGACACGCTGACGGGGCCGCTGACGGGGCCCTTGGGCGGCCTGGCGCCCGCCCTGGCGCCGTCCTCGTGCCAGCCCGCCCTGTGTAGGCTAGCCAACGGGGAGTTTGCGGTCATTCAGGCCGCCCCCGGCCAGCCCGGCAGGACTTACTTTGTGTGAGCCGGCTGGCTGGGTGTGTGAGTGTGTGTGTGTGAGTCATCCTACCAGTGCGGCTCGGCAGGGCCCGGGCACGCATTCGACAGGGTTTTGTTTGCGAACTGTTACTATTTATTGTCACTGGCAAAAGTCATGGATGCTGTGGAAAAGAAAGTGAGGAAAAGAGTAATGACAATTTTTCATATTTATGTTTTTTTGTTTGCGATTTGGCATTCCAAGCTTTAGTTTTCAGTGACACAGACTGAGTTTGTTAAGTACCTTATTTATAATTTTAGTTAGTTAACTGTGTCGAGCAGAGCCACTTCATTGCTCGAATGATTGTACTGTGTGGCAAAGTCTTTTATTTATTGTTTTTTTTTTATTTTAAATTTTCAAATTGTAGACCGGTGATTTTTATTGATTTCTTGACTTTTAAACACAAAAAGCCAGTCATTGTGAATACGCACGTAAACTGCTCTCTAAATATCTTGATTGAATGGCTGTGAATGTAGCTAAATGGTTCCCCTGTACTATTGTCACTTTGCCGATGCCAGTATTTTGCGTTTTGGCGCCCGCTGCCCCCCACGTAGCCACGCCAAGCTGTGATGTAATCTCTATACTGACCTAGCCTTTGTGCCAGACGGCCGATGACCACTGAATGAATCTGCGCCATATTATGTGAGCATGTTTGTACTCTATAGTTTGACTATATATCATAGGAGGCTGGCCACAATGGTGGCCCAGGCCAGCCCAGCCCAGCGCCCTGCGTGGCTCTCCGGCTGGCAAAGGACAGCCAAGGGTGGCTCACAATGGCTGACTCTGGGTGGCGATTCGACATAGCTCGTCGGGCTCGCCAGGTCTGATCCAGCACAATGCGAGTTAGCACCGAACCTTTGGCCCGCCAGACTCGTCTATAGATTTTTTTGGGGATCGCCTTTGTTTCGGGACGAACGGAAGCTGCCCCCACGTTCTGGAATAACGAGTCTTATTGACAGGCGCGAAGTCTCGATCGTCACAAGTGAAAATCCGTTGTTACCTGAATCTCACTCGAGGGCCACGTGTTCCTCTTATTCACACATGCTGCCACTCTATCAAAGTCGGGAAGGATATAGTTAGGTCTGATTAATGTGACTTTCATGAACCAGTCAAGCTTCGGCACGTCGCCTTTTTATGCTCTGTAAAGTTAAAATTGAACCAAATGTTTGTGATTTTGTTGCTCATACTTGCATTGTATTATCTCACCCTGTACGCACTGTAAAGTCACCATTGATTGGTCATTCAATGCCACATTTTCATGGTCTGCAATGAGTTGATAGTTATATGAAAAAATTTACCTTTATGATATTCCTGCATAAAAGTGTATAATTTGTGCATATGTATAGCTGTTGTGTAAATACCCATTCAATCTGACTGTATGTTTTGTTAATATTGCACAGTTACGTTATTTATTTATTTGCTTGTATTTCAAGCGAAATTGTGATACTTAGGGCCGAAGAATGGGGTACAACTGTGATCTAATGTACAGAGGGCCTCCAATTGGCAACTTAATCTTCCAAGTGTGATAAAAGACCCTGTAATAATTGTGGCTCAACAACCGATACAAGCACTTCATTTTACTGAGTTGACGATGGATTTCAGAGTTGTGTTTTTGTAATTTCTTTTTGAGCTTGAAGGAGCGTCTTTTCCGTATGTGATGCAGAATCAAAAGATGCCGATACATTGATATTGATGGCATATCTGCTTCTGAATCACATACGGATACACCGGCGCTGGCACTCTGAATGCTAGTTTCAAGTTGTTAAGTTTTGTTGAATTAGTCAGCACAGAGCGCGCTGATCACCACAATCATACTGGTCACCTATTTATATAGAAATGTCTTCAATTTTCTATGTCGCTATGTATATGTTTTTTTCCTGAAAGTCTGATACTAGATCATAAACTGTTATGTATTGACTGTACATAAATCTTTTGTTTTCCTGTATAAATGTGTACATATTAACAAACATTTTATAAATAAATATTATACTCGTTACATTATTAAGTCTTTGCCTTTTCATTTACCCAAGAAAGAAAGAAAGAAAGAAAGAAAGAAAGAAAGAAAGAAAGAAAAAGAAGGAAGGAAACAAATTATAACACTTACATGTTTAAAAATAATGCAAATACATATTACACTAGTTCATTGAATGAAAGTCGATGCAAGACTCAAATGAATGAAAAAAATAATCCAAAAGAGCAAACACACTGGACATGAAAAACAACATGACTTTGGATGTCAAAATGAATGGAAACCATGAGAACTTAGAAAATGAATGAATACATAAATGAATGAATGGCAATCCTCCGCTGGCTTCTGTCACCACATTACATGCATCATGTAGGTTCTGAACCGCTACGGCGGCGTGTAGCGTCGACAGGGGACACACATGGGGCCGCTCACATACAGGGGCATTCCTGGACGGCGAACTAGAAGAAGAATATTACGGCCCCTAATGCACGCCCATGAATAATACAACGCAAAGCTGCAGGCTGCACAGCCTCCCGCTCAAAATCCTAATAACGCCGCCGCTCCATCAGATGACAATTCCGCGTGTTCCCACGCGGAAATGACGCGGCTAATGATGGAACGGGACGTTGGCAGGTTGGGTTGGCAGCAGTGCATGGCGCAAAAATGCTGCACGTCTCGCGGAACCAAGCCGTTCCGAGCCTATACGCTATGGGAATGGCGTGGCACGGCGGCCTGGCAGTGCCTGGCAGGCACGGGCGAATAATTATGATTCAGCGGGATGGCTACACGAATGTTGCGGTTGGCATCCCTTTCTCATCCCAGCCCGCATACTGTACCGCTAGCCTCGCGGCGGGCCCGCCTCGCCCGGCCTGCTTGACAAGCTGCATTCAAAATACCTCCGCATTCTGATTTACGTCGCCACCGTCGGCCAGTTCGGCCCGCAGCACAATTAGGCGCATTATCGGCGCATTAATATAATGCTTGCCTTCAGCTTCGATTGCGCGGCGATAAATCGACAAATCCGTGGAGGTCAGTCCAGTTAGGGCCGATTTTCGGGCTCGCGCTCGCGTGCGAAAGGGCCGGCGTGTGCCGCGCGTTGTGACAGCAGGATTTCTCATCCCGCCAGTGGAAATTAATAACGAGGCTGTCACGGAGCAGAAAGGCTCGTGCGTGCGTGCATGGTGTGGAGCAGTGTAGGGCCGAGTGCAATGGCGGATGAAAAAACTGTCACGCGGGAAACGGGGACGGCGGCGCGCAAATTCAAATGAGATCTGTAAGAAACAGCGCACTAAGGACGTCTTAGCTTAGCTGATATGATAAGCAGTGGCAGATGCTGCCGGCGGGGCCGACGGCAACGCGACAGCAGGGTGCCCGGCGAGGCGAACCCTCTCATCCGCCGCGAAGGTCCTTCCAGTTACGCCGTTCCCGCGGGAGGCGCTCGCCTGATCGAGAGCCATAAGCCCTGCCAGCAAACCAACAATGTTCCCAACCCAATCATCAGCCGAGAATGAAGTTCTCACAAAGCCCCCAAAGGGCGCCCTCCGCTCGCGTCACCGTATTTCAAAAGTTAATCTAAAGTGTGAAAACCAGTGCGTGACTGGCGGCCTGACGCGTCCCTAGGAGATTCTTCCTCCGTGGAGCCAAACCGCAATGGAGACCAAGGTGAAGTACAGGCAAGGACAAAAGCAGCACTCCCGCGCCGCCGCCGCCCCGCCTACCCAGCCAGCCAATGAAAAGTCATGCGATTCGCGCGACCTACATGAAGGGGCAGAGCTACAGGGTGCGGCGCGTTTCCAAAAAGGCGGAGGCTTTTGGCTCTTTGGGGCGAGAACACGCCGGATCGTTAACGCGGACAAGAAGAGAGCGGAGGGGCGGGCAGGGCGAGCCGGGTGTGAAGGAATTTCGCTTGAGGACGACATGGTGGTCGCACGCACCCTGACCCCTCCCCCTCCCCTTCGGCCGTGGACAGCCTGGACAGTGCCTGGACAGTGCCTGGACAGTGTGGTGCCAGCGAGTATTTGAGCCAATTAAGGTTTTGGTGGCCGGTAATGCAGAGGTGTGAGAAAGGCCAAAGGGTGGCCATTGTTGCGAGAACGCGGAATCCCGGGGCGTGTGTGCGCAGGGCTCGCTGCCGCCCCCCCCCCCCCCCTCTCTCTCTCGATTCCGAAACCGCGGAGAGGCGCGTCGTGTATTCGCACGCACTCCCTGGCGAACACCCTAATGAGAGGAAAGGGACAACTAGGCGACCCCAGCAGACTGATTCCGGAGACTCGTTATTCGTCGCTCTGTCTCTCTCGCACGAGAGACGGAATCACTCGACATGGACGGACGGCCCCGCCACGCCTCGGGCAGCCGCCACGCACTGCTCGCCGCTGCTCGCGACAGGTCAAAGGGTAAACCAGCGCTCCCCCTAAAAAACAACAAAAAAACTCGTTCTTTTGCATTAAAAAAGAACACGAAAAAAAATTGTCTGGTTTGTTTTTGTTGCGATCTTCTTTATTTGATCGCGTATCTGCCGGCTTCTGCTGCGAGCCCCTTTTTGCACAAATTATGCAACGGCGGCCTGCATCGCCCGGCACGGCACTGCCAAGGCACTGCCTGCTTTGCATGGCCGTGCATTGTCTCCTTCCACCCTCACCTCCTTCAATTCGGTGTAATACATGCCTCAACAAAAGTTACCATTTACCGCGAACACAACACTGTTCTTTTGCTCTTTTTCTTTTATCATTATTTTTTTGCACGGTCTGTTGCGGCACGGCGGCGGTGCGGCCGAGAGCCAGTTTCACCCGAAAAGTAGTGCACGGTAGCTCTGTTCATTATCTCAAGGGCGGTGCAGAGCAGCCCCCGCGGAGCGTGGCGGGCGGTGGCGATTTCGAAGAGCATCGTCGCTCTGTCTCTCTCGCGGCCGTGGGAGCGGTCCATGCGTGCGAGAGAGACAGAGCGACCACTCGGAACCAGCCTGCCGGAGGTGGCGCTGGTGGACCGGTGGCAGTGGACACCCCCGCGTTCGTCACGGCCTGTCTCTCTCACTCCCTCAGGCGGCACCCCGCCCCGCGAGTGCGAGAGAGACGGAGGGTGCGCCGCAGTGCAGGCGAAGTGATCCCCGAACTTGGTGGCTTCGTGACGTGGCCTTTTCGCGGAAGCGGACAATTAACCGCCGAGGCGGAGCGCCGTTCGATTGGCGCAGCGCGGCGCACCGCCCTGCAGCAAAATGCGGAATGCAAAAACGGAAGGCGGTGGAACGCCGCGCCGCTTATCTGAACCGACCCCGGCGAAGAAAAAAAAGCGCGAAAGGCTTGCGGACGGAAAGCGGAAAGCAAGGCGGCCTCTTTCGTCTTTTGCACCTCCACTGTGAGTCTTTGAGCCGCCAAGCCGCGCGGCGCGGCCAGTCAAGAAGTCGCAGGACGACGCGAACCAACACGTGACGGACTACAGGCGGCGCTCGCGCGATTGGAGTCCTCACTTTTTTGCGCGGCCCACTCGCCTCGCCGCGCCTCGCCGCGCCTCGCCGGAGTGTCGGCTCTTTTGCACCGCCAAGGGGGAGGGGGGCGTGGTGCGTCTGTCCGTCTCTGTCACACATCGTGGTAATGGATGTCCCCGCCACACTCAGCTCCCGGTGGACAAGTTCGGAACCAAGGCGGTATCTGCAGGACGAGTCCGAACTGCCGTCTCGTCGCTCTGTGTCTCGCTCGCGCCCGCGCGGGACGGCGCGCGAGTGAGAGAGAGAGAGAGAGAGAGAGAGAGAGAGAGAGAGAGAGAGAGAGAGAGAGAGAGAGAGAGAGAGAGAGAGAGAGAGAGCGTCGGCGGACTTGGCCGAATGCGCGCGCACCTGGCTGTCGCCTCATGATTGATACGTCATATGATTCATCGGCGCGTCGAAAAGTGTCCTGCTGGCGATAAAATCGCATTAGGCTCATCGCAATCACGGCAAGCAGGGCGAAGCGGCGTAGCCGGCAAGGCGTACCAACCGAAGCGTCCACAAAGACACGTAACGAAGACGGAAGCGGCCCTGTCTCTCTCGCACCCCGACGTGACGCCCCTTGAGTGCGAGAGGGACAGAGCGACGAAAGCGACTCTCGGAATCGGTGGCCCGCCGCACTGGCCCCCGTTCATTTCCGTCAAGTTGGCAGCGAGAAGCGGGGGCAGGCACGCCGTCAGGGAGTCAGGGGGGAAGTTATGAATTGATTATGTTATTGAGAGGACAATAATTGTATCCCACGAGGAGGGGAAACGCCTTCGAGAGACTGGCGATACACTTTCCTGACACACAGTAAGTCAATAATCCGATGAAAACATTCAATTCAGGGTCGCAGCATACTCCAGCACACCACATTCGTAGGCAACTACTCGCTGATGGCTTTGGCCGCTCATAGCGACTCGGCACGGCAAACCGAGTTTCCGAGCGCCGCAGCCCCGCTCGCGTGACCTTCAGTGACCTTCCAAGGCTGCCTGACTGACCCGTGCGAGAGAGACGGCCTGCGGCACGCTGCGCCGGTCGGGCGGATACCTCCGCTCCGTGGATACCTCTTTGGGATGGCCTCTTTGTGCGCGGCCAGGAGATAAATCGCCGCCACACCGATAGAACACCTGTGGCGCGGTGCATTTTAAAATAAAGGGAAGGAGTGTGGCCCGCCGCGGCCGCCACGGCCTCTTTGACGCACAGGTGCAGAAACCAATCCTGTCGATGAGCGAGCAGGCCTGGGTCTCGGTGGCGGTGGTTCCGCCTGGTGCGGCATTGCTAGCCGCGTACGTACAGTCGCGTGTGAAAGCGGCACCCGGGTCCGCGGGGAAGTCCTTTGACGCGGTACAGTCCGTCGGGGAAGTCCCAGTTCCACCAGTTATTTGATTATTGCGCCACGCCCAAAATTCTCCCCTTATCTGGCTTTTAATTCGGCGGCGCATCGCGTGACGCGGCGAGGCTGCCAGCCGCGCCAGGCCGGCCAGACATTTCAACAAGTATTTCGTTTTATTAAAATTTCACGCACGATTGGCTGATAACCCGCGCGGCACTGACGCCGCTATCAGATAGGCGGCGC